AATATTGTTGTGTTGGTTTGTGCACGTAGAATTGTGCTTTATTTGGAAGTGGAGATGGTGGTGATTTAATTTTTCTTTACAACTGGTTGACTGACAGATTTGAGCATACTATTGCTACAGTAGTACAATATCTTTCATACAGTTAGTAGCTCAACGTTGATGTTCGGCGATACCATCTCTTGTGTAGGTATTTGCATTGTCGTACGCAGATATGTAGTTACAAAATGAAAAAATAGATGTGATTATTATTATAACATAATCATTACTATAATTATTACTTATCAATACACAATACTTTTTAAGTAATTATTGTGTAATTAAGTTAAAAAATAATGATTCTACCAAGTATATAGGTGTATATCCAATAAAAATGATACTAAATATTGAATATTGCTAAATGTCATCATATACGTTTTTCACGCAAAAACTCGTCAACTTATACAAATACAATGTTGACGGACAAGAATTAAGGATGGTACACAAAATTCAGGACTTTAGGGGTTTTAGTACAATTTTGAAGTTTGACTCATATATTATAAAAACGTAAACAAGGGTTTTAGGATAATTGGTTTCGAACTGCACTATGCTAAAGATTGCAAGAAGTCTTCATCGAAAATAATACTCTTTCAACTGTACTATTGCAGTACGAGCTTGGCTAGAATTCAACAGTGTTATATGGACTGCACATTACGAAGTGTACATTAAACGTTTAGAAAGTGTTCAAAAACGCTTTCTATATCACTTGGCATATGGTGATTTTAGGGCTAGGAGACTTCCAAGGTACTCACATAGACTCAAGCATGACAATTTGACTTCTTTGGTCAATCGTAGAAAGAGATTTGACTTGATTCCTCTACAAACTTGTTAACGGTTCATTAGATTGCCCTCAGTTATTGAATATGTTGCAATTCAGTACTCCTTGTAGGTTGCCCAGGAAAAGCGCTTAAAGCTTTTTTGCCGTACCAGTTTCAAATACGAACCACGGTCATTTCACTCTTTTGCCAAGGCTCTGTAGGACGTATAACTCACTCGTAGGTATAAACATGAGTATGGTCGTATATACACTATACTTCGTAAGTCAAATTATTTTTTTAAAGTATTGTTTTCAATAATGCATCCGTATACAAAACTTTTTATGTGCGCCATTATACAGTGTAAATTTGAGACGGGGCAACAAAACTAGCCACGTTAACCGTTGTAGTTACAGGAAAACGGTTCTAGAAAATTATCCATGAATTTTGAAGATATTTTAATTGACATTCACAGATTTTGAAAAAAAATGGTACATTCAGCAAGATAAAAGGCAATTTTTACAAAACTTTTTTTTATGCCATTCGATCAGGTCTCTGTTAAGGATCAATAGTCTTTATGGGACCAATTGAGGTAAGAGTACTCGAAATGTCAGAAATCGCAAAAAACTTTTTACCATACATTTTGTAGGGATATATTTAGTAATCAGTTATTCTATGTAGTTAAGAAAACTGTTATATTGGCTGGCCTTACTGCCGTGTCTCAAATTTACACCCTGTATATGCATAAAATGATTTTCACTGACGCTCCCTGAAGATATCCAAAAACATTTTAAAACACTCAGACATCAACCCTTAGCGCTCGATCCGGCAAACTAAACATGTTTGCAGGATGCGGCCGACGCCGCCCGACTCCCCTCGAGTACCCCGCCGTTTCCCTACGCAAGTACATTCGTTGCGCAAGTTGGTTGGTTTACAAAACTGTGCTATTGCTACTCCAATAACACACGCATCACCTTTATTTTTTTTCACCCGGGTTTCCTTGCTATCATATTTGTGACTGTTATTAAACATTTTTTTATTACAGTTTACATCGGTGATGTGTAATATGGGTTGGAGTTATTCAGATTTATTTGTGATTTGCATAAGCGTTTATCTTAAAGGTTTACTTGATGAAATTTGTAAGAAGATACAATTGGCTAAAAACAAGGTAATTTACATGCGAACATATATTGACCTTTTCCCATCGGGGTAGGCAAAGACAAGATCCTTTCACTTCCTTTTATTATAATATCAAGTAAAGTCAAATAATGATGGCACGAATATGTCGTTCGCCTGATGGTAAACTGCGCGCCTGTCCATAATAGTTACAGTGTCATTCCGAGCTTTAAATCGCAAAGATTTGAAGGGCACTGCGCTTGTCACCCTGAGACATAAATTGAGAACTCTTATGTGTCTGTAACTTCACCAGTACTCTTAACCCTCAAAACCCACAAAACACAGTAATGCTTATATTGGGCGGTAGAAATAGATGACACCTCATAGTAGTACTTCCTTGGACGAACTACACTCCCGGACACATAATTCGAGCCACCTCGCCTTTTCGGTATTAAATGCCCTAAACTTAAACAATGTTCGGTTGATCAAAAACTATTAAGCAATTTTGAAACTATCATACTAAACGTCTTTTCCATAAATCCTTGTTGGAAATTTGGATTTGCAAAACCGGGGAAAAACTTTTTTTTCGACGATAACACTACTTTTGTATTCTAGCCCTTTTAAGACAAAAATGCGAGGTGGCTCGAATTATGTGTCCGGAAGTATATTTCACAACTAGCTCTACTGCTACTATGTATACCTATCTTGCATTTAAATTTTGATATTAACTACGAAACTTACTTTTACAGGACTTACCGCCAGCTTACTGGAAAAGGCTTAGACAACAGTACACAGACTCAACTAAACTTGTACGACTATTAGATGATCTCATAAATTCTACCATCTTTCTAAGTTTCGCTTGTACTCTGTTCGTTATCTGCTATGAAATATTCAATATTTTACGGTAAGATATCTTATATATAGTAAGTAATGCACTGAAACAAAAGTATAATCAAAAAGGTGATGGTGAACGCTTAAAAGTACATTTAATACAACATTAACATGTTCCGTCGCAATGAAAATATAGTAATAATAAAAATTAAATCTGCCCAAATGGCAGAAATCTGCCACAAATGGTCACACTGCTCTCAATCTCAAAGTGACGTTGACATTGGCAAGCCTCTTATCAAAACGTTCCTTTGCTAACTTTCGTATCTCTCATTTAAATATTGTCTAAACATTTTTGTCACATTGTGTTTTACTTTTTACTTTATGTCATTATTGTTTAATTGATTATTTGATTAGGTATTTTATAGCTTGAATGTTTTATGTGTGTTCTATAAAATAACCAACACTTTAGGTAAATAAACATTCAATGATACTTAAAATGAAACGTACCTATAAGAACGTTCCTTAATCTATGGTCTAACTGAACTTGCGGCAGCAAGGAGGCTCCATAGTGGACGTCTCTTTCGCTACTCCTGCTGTCGCGCGCAGCGTTGGCAACTGGAGAGTGGTAGAGGATGCGGAGACGCTGTCAGATCATTTATACATCCACTTCGAAGTCTCCGCGGTCTCCGGTACTTCGACACCATCCCGGAGGCTGAGCCGCTTCCCCGTGGAGTGGCAGAGGATGCCACTGTCGATGATCTGGCTACTCGATTGCACACCGTCCTAACGGCAGTTTGCAACGCGGCAATGGCCCGGGTCCAACGACGACATCCCCACCGGCAGGTGTACTGGTGGACGGCAGAGATTGCTGAACTCCGGGAGTCAGATGCCGACGTTGCCACGGTTACGCCCCGGACGTAGAGAGCCAGCTACGGGAAACCTACAGGCTGAAGCAGAAGTCCTTGCAGTTGCCAATAAATCAGGCCAAAACCCGTGCTAGGGAAGAAATCTTTCCCGGATTAGAACGAAATCCGTGGGGTCGCCATATAGTGCGGCGCGGAGGAAACTTTGTGCCAAAAGTGCCCCTGTCACGGAAACCATGGCTCCTGATCTCCTCGATTGGGTAGTAAGTTGTTCTCAGACCATCCAGGTCATCTACCCCCGGTGATGGCGCCATCATCCTCACCGGAAGAAACTCTCCCACCGGTCCCCTCTGTAACTGAAGGGGAAATGAAGGTGGCTCTGTTGCGGCTACGGGGTAAAAAGACTGCACCGGCGCCGGACGGCATCCCGGGTCGGGTATTGCACCTGACTGCGGAATACCTGGACGAATGGCTTCGGGGGCTGTTCGACATATGCCTACGCAGTGGACAGTTTCCGAAACAGTGGAAGCAGGGCCGATTGTGCCTGCTGCAGAAGGGGGGCCGTCCAACCGACTCGCCCCTGCATACAGGCCCATTGTTCTGCTGGACGAGATGGCTAAGCTCTTCGAAAGAGTTCTCGTAAACCGTCTCGTCCGGCACCTAGATGAAGTGGGCCCGGATCTGTCGGAGACTCAGTACGGATTCAGGGCGGGGAGATCTACAATCGACGCCCTGGATGCCCTGAAGAGTCTTACAACAGCAACGGTGGAGAGCGCGGAGGTGGTATTGGCTGTCTTTGTATTGGTGGAGAAGATCCACCTGATAGGCCTGAAGGTCTCCATACACAAAACGGAGGCCCTCCTATTTCACGGACCGCGCACAGGTCCTCCTAGAGGGGCCGAGATCACCCTGTTCGGGGAGTCGGTCCCAGTCAAGGTTCAGATGAAATACCTGGGCCTTGTACTGGATGGGAGGTGGACGTTCAAGGCACATTTCTCCCAACTTGCCTCAAAGCTGATGAATACCGCAGCTGCCCTCGGACGGCTCTGCCAAATGTCGGCGGACCAGGCTCAATCTGCAGGCGCCTGTACTCCAGAATAATCCGGAGTATGGCCCTCTACGGCTCACCCATCTGGGTAGAAGCTCTCACCGCTCAACTCAAGCCTTTCCTGCGGAGGCCATAGAGGGTTATAGCGGTGAGAGCGACCCCACGTGAGAACTTTAGGAGGAAGTGCATCGCGTGACAGGTCGGGAAGCGACTTCTGTCTGTGACGAATGTGGCGCACCCGTCGATACGGCGTGGCACACCCTGACTGAATGTGCGGCTTGGAGCCCTCAGCGGCACTCCCTGACTGCCATAGTGGGAGGAGATCTCTCGCTGCCAACAATCGTGGGCGCAATGCTCGGCAGCGAGAGGTGTTGGGAGGCTATGGTATCCTTTTGCGAGATCGTAATCTCGCAGAAGGAGGCTGCGGCGCGCTCCATAGAGGACGACCCCCTCTCTGACCCGCTTCGTAGGTCGGGGAGGGAGACGAAGGAGACAGTACACCAACCTTCTTCCCCCGCCGTAGATTGGGGTCGGGGGACCCCTTCCATCAACACCCTCCAAAGGACTTGGCCCGCTCTATGCGGGCCATCCGCCGAGACGTCCCAATAGTATGCACAAGCGGATTCTGGGTCGTCTCTCTATGACGGTGGAGTTAACAGCTGGGTTTTAGTGGGTATACGGGACTACCACCCGGGAGTCCCACATAACCGTTCGATGCTCCTCCGAGCCGAGCGGTATGCGTAACGCATTTCCCAGCGACAAAAAAAAATGGTCTAAATGAATCAATTGTGTTCTTGCATCTATTCTAAAATACATTATCTTGCAATTTCTTTATCCCCAACTTCTAAAAATATACAAAAATATATTAGTAACTAGGCATAAACTAAAACGTAAAATTATAGTAGCAAAGTCCATGAGCGGCACTTCTTTTTCTTCTTTCTTTATTCTTTTTCTTCGCGTTGATTTTGGGTCATCTTTCGCCATCTTTTTTTGTAATTGGCTGTAAATATTGCAGCACACAAATTCAATTGAAGACAAAAAATGTACAGATTTTGGTTACTTTACAAAACATATTTATACACTCATGCTATTTTGAGTTCCTTTAAAATTGGAATGGAAGTCATGATAACTTTATTTTATTATTCTTGTCAGGTTTGGGTTCAAACTTAAAGTTCACGTAGATTGTCCTAATTATCCTAGTGGGTAAGTTTCTTAAATTTCACTTAAAAACATAAAATGTTTAAAAAATATATCATAAATTAATTTTCTGTATCAAATTTTTCTCAGGCCTTTCGGTGGTTACGAGCATGCAGTCTACTTTATCTACTCATCGTCGTTTCTAATAGCAAGGGTCATTTTGACAACACTTTTTGCATCCAGTGTACACACAGCTTCTTTGAACATCGGTCCTGAGTTATATGAAGTGCCTTCATCAGCAGGCAACGAGGTAATTATGAACGTATTCTAACTGGATTAAGAGTTGAAATCCTTTTTTAATAAAACCTTAGTGATGTTCTTTTGATATCACACAATTAGCCCAGAAAAAAACTTCCAGCAATATATCTGAAATCACCAGGAAATGCAGTCGTTTTGTGTCACGAAATATCAAAACCAATGTTTTAAGCTAATCTGAACATAATTCCCCGACAAATCGTGACCAATTTATGTAAATGATCTTTGTGGTCTTGAATAACTTAAACGTGTGAAAATCAATGAAACTAATTAGAACAGATATTTATATATTTATTGGCACAACAAGAGAACACAAATCAATATTAATAAGTAATGTAATACATGGTAAATAGGAAATAAGTCGTATTATCATAATAATTAATCAACACAGCAAAAAAAAAGATAAAACATGGATTATAAAAAAACATGATAAGATTAAATTATAAGATAATTAAACTACTTGAAGATACAAAACAACAAAATTACGAAAGTTCTTAACGAAAGTAACTGTCTAAAAAACTACTGCTTACGTTATTTTATTTTATTATAACGTTATTATATAGCGTGTTGATTTGTATTATCGCCATATTTAAGAATACAAATCATCTCAAATATAAAAAAAATTATTCTGTTCAATATTCTGGCTAATTGTATCTCGTAGAGATTTGCAAAATTGTCTCAACTCATATGCACCCCCCAGCATGCTTGCAGACCCCGCCACTCGCTTCACCGAGCGATACGTAATCTTTCTCGATCGCTTATTTACCTATTTTATAATTACGATTATGTACTAGTATTGTTATAATTTACTATTTATTTACATTAATTAGAAAAGTTGACTGAAAAAAGTTTTTTGTAATTTAGATTTGGTACTTACCAACTTTAGATTACATGAAAGTATTGTTAGAAGTACCTCGCTCCACACCTGGTGGCTGGCTCCGTACCGAAGCTACCACCAGCTGTGCAGAGATTCGCACGTGAGAACATTAGACTTCACAACTATGAAACCAGAAAGTTCGACACTCGTATGCTCGGCGTAAACTAAACGTTTCACATCATGCCATAAGAATAGACACGCACTTGTATTACTAACTCTTGTTTACATACCAAACCACGTGGCATTTCGTGACAGACTAGAATAGACATACCTATGCGGGATGTCAGCGTGATGTAGATGCAGTACGGCAAAGCAGGTCGACTGATCTATCTGATCTCTGTGAATATGGCGAGGATGCAAGTCAACACATTGTAGAACGCTCATTTCATATTATAACTTACACTTCGACTAAATACACTTCCAATAATTTAATTCTTATTATTTTCATTTCTAATAATATTTGCATTTTATAAGAACATTTTATATAAAGCTCTTTTTACATAGCAATGATTTGACATATTGTCAATTCATATATTTTTTATCATATATTTGAGTTACCTGGACTATACGCCCCTCCTTTAGTAGGTTCGGTTGGATTACGTTAAAAAAGTTAGTATATGTAAAAGCAGCACAAGCCGAGCGAGCGAAACGAGTGTGCCTCGGCAGCGGCCGTCAGAATCGAGTTAGTTTCGCGTTTCCGACATGTTTAAGATGAAATTTATTTCAACTTAATAATCTGTTTAGTTATGTAAACTGAGGTTTATAACTTATAATTGTTATTTAAAATGAGTTAATGATTAATTATTGTTTTCAAAAATGAAATTAGTGAATCTAAATTTTTATTAAACGGTAGTGGATTGTTATATGAAAAACGTCTATAATAAGAAAAAATATATAGTAAATGAACGTTAGATAAAAATATTTATGTGTTACATTTACACATTCCACACTATAACGCTTGACCTTTGCAGATAAACAGATTTATAGAGCAAGTGCATGGGGAAACAGTGGCGTTGACGGGGTACCGGTTCTTTAATATGACAAGAGGAATTGTTCTTAGCGTACGTTTCTTTTTAAATGCTACCTACACTAAATTTGCTTAAAAATGATTTCTTTAAATCGGATCGGTGAGTGGCGGAAATGATTGGAGGTCATATTTTTCAAATACTTGCCCGAAAGCAGAAATTTAGACCAGAATATCAACATAAACATAATTTTTATTCTTCTTCCAATATTTCACAGTGGTTCCACGCTTCAAGGTCTCCAATTTTCTGGTGAATGCCAGTTGACAGCTAAAGAACAAACACAGCTGATTACATTCAAAGAATATGTTTTAGTTTTTTGTGGTTCTTCTATAGAAAATCTATTCACTGTCATTCTTAAATCAACCTCTGCAATAATAAAACTGACAGCTGTCATGATGATAGAGCTGAAACCACTCTTAAAACTTTTAATTTGTAGCAATCACTCTTCTCGGCTTTGTCTGCATTTGCCTCAGTCAAGTCAACATTAAATTGTCACTTTACAGGCACGAGTAATACTTTATTACCTTTTCAGATTGCCGGCACGATTGTTACCTACGAGTTGGTATTGATGCAATTTAATGGATAAAGTGGTTAATTACATGCATCCTATGTCAAATCTACTTATTATTTCTGAGAATAGGAAGAGGGTTGGGAAATTGTTAAGAAAATATATGTATTGAAACAAAAGTTTGTATTGTACTGTAGCAAGTTGCACTTTAAAAGCTGAAAAACATGAACATCGCCACGTACGCACGCATTAAAAACGCAGCAATGATAGGTCCAATCATATTGAAGAATATTATTTTAGAAAAACCAGCAACAACAATGACATACACGTTATGTTGCTACCAGAGCAACACGTCACATTCTCCGGTGAGGAAAACCGGGAGGTTATAATATAGAACATGGTCAAATAACTGTTGTGACAATCCACTAACTTGGCTCGGTCGTACGCCGTTAAAGTAGTTCAGTCGACGTTTCGGTCGAGTCCCTATCAAATCTCAGCCATGCAAATCTAAAGGGAACAGTCTTATAGATACCACAAAAACCTAACCTATAACAGAAAAAATTGGAAAAAAACTTTGGCGGGATTGTTGAAGTTTAGTGTTTGATGAAGACTTTTGATTGTGATAGATGCATTATTAATTAATTTCTGTAATTATGAACTATCAAAATGATCGCCAGGATGTGCTTTTTGTGATGGTGTTAAAACATTAACATTAGATATCATATTCGAATCACAATCTTATTGGAATAAATTGTCATCAAAGCGGAGGTCAGTGCATCTTGTCATTGTTCTTTAGACAAAAACTTATTCCTTAATAAAACACTTTTTGGCGTAAAATATCACTCAAACACATAACTTTATTTAATATTGGTTGTATTAAAATCTTTTTTAGGTCGTTACATTGTGCGTTTTGATAGGATTCGTCAATTTTCTTCCTCGCGACTTACAGTTTTTTTTACGCCATTTTCGCAAATTTTCGCGATTTTCGTCGCTACGTAAGAAGGGATTCAAATTTTCGATTAGACAAAACAATAAGTCCTGGACTCTTTTACTCGTATCACGACTTGCAATGAAACTTAAATATAGAGTTTATTGATTTCATCGGAATAAATTGTGTTGGAGATATTTTTTATAGTTCTTTTAACATTATCTCAGCCTTTATCAACCGTCTGTGATCGATCTAATTTTGTCCACAAGTTATTGGACGGCTGTATTATATGTATTATATGAAAAACAAGTTTAATTTGACGGTCTGTCGTAAAAATATTTTATTGGCACTAAGATTTTGTGATAAAATGTTTGTATTTCTACGTTTTTATATTTTCCTGTACATACAGCTTCTTGGTAAGTCAGAATACTGAAAATAGTTTCAGAATTGTTTTTCTAGATGTACTTAAGGAGTGCTTGTTAAGTATATACCTGCAGTTCCTATAATATTAATAGATTATTATTCTGTTTCTGTCACATTGTGGTTTTTCTTTTAAGCCTTTATTTTATTGTTATTACACTTTTGTTTGTTGGGAACTTCACATGTTTTCCGACGATTGTGAACCCTTTTTGACGCACAGGTTTTATCACGATGTTGTCCTTCACCAAAATGCTCATGGTAAACTTTAAATTAAATTTCGCACATAAATGCCGAGAAACTTAGAGGTGCGAGTCCATATTCGAACCCACTGTCTCTGCTTGAGGCGATACTTCAAACTCACGTCAAACCATTGGGCTACCACGGCTATTTAGTTTTTAACCTCAACCCAGAACTCTAATTTACAACATTCATCATATGCGAAATTCGATATTCCTCATCGCACATTCCACCAAGAAAAGCCATTTAATTTGCTTCTTTCTGCAGTCACATTAAATATAAATGCTGCAGACAACAATGGCGGTCGCCCAGTTATGGATACTGGTATAGAGGATAAACAACATGAATATGAAAATGCTTGTGAAAGCGTCTGCGATGATTTACCGAGTGATGACGTGGAGCCTGTTTGCATGATGTTCAGTAGATATAAGAAGGGATATCAGTACTTTGTTAACGAATGCCATGCGAGGAGAGCTATTTGTAAGACGAACTTGAGTGAGTTTATAATTCTATTTTTTTTTCTATTAGGTTAAAATTAGTCGATATAGACAAATATGTAGCTTTTTTTGTCTATCTGTTAATAATGCAAATTGTGAATTTAAGTTTTATTATGGAAAATGAAGATATTTTTTTGGATTAAAATGGCATGTAATTGTTTTTTAAACAAACTTTTCGGACTCTTTGGAGGGCCCCAAATCTGCTAATTTTAAATCTTCTCAGTTATGTATCGATAGTGTCAATGGCTGGATTTTTAAATCAAATCAAATGAAAATTAATTTATTTTAGACAGATACAGTCCAAAGTCTTATAATAGTTACACAATTATGTATGGATTCCCATCAGGCTACCAATATTAAAAACAAAAAAATACATAAAAAAGTCCTCAAATAGAAGGCGAATGCAGTATAATGCAACGAAGCATGATCGTTACAACGCGAAGAATGTCATTCAAACTGCCACATGTACGGCTTAGCAATGAAGCAGCTCTCTTTCAAAGAATAGCATAGCAACAGCAAAATAGAATAATAGCAATAATAGTGTTTTGTATGTTTGATATTCTGCTGAAGTTAAAAGTAGTGGCTTATCAGTGGTTAACTAACCATCGAGCTGTAACTGTTCAGCTGCCATTTATTTTTTTTGGTATTCTGCTCCTCAATTGCGAATTGATGGCATGTCGATGATGTAGTCTATGTAACTTGAGGCTTAAAATGATTGAACGAGATGAAACTGAAGTTACGTTTAGTAATTTCCATGGTAGTTTTACGGCCGTTCCCAATATTCTATCTATCGCCTATTTAGGCATACTAAAGATAGAAAAATCTATCTATCTCTGGTTTAAATGTCTCAACAACCTATCGGGGAATAAGGAGTCTTACCCACCCATACTATCTATCGATGGGAGGATCTATCCCTTGCAAGGGATAGATTTTTGTATGAAAACGGAACTTTAAGCGTCCCTATATCGGTTTGACAGCTGTCTATCAGTAACTTAGCCTGTTTAAAGATACCAGGTTTGTGTATTGTCCAAATTTCAGGGATAAACGTTTGGATAAGCACTGTTTACGTTTATAAAATATACATGGAATTTTTATCGTTTTTAAATTATGTCTTATTCAAGTGAAAGCGATTTAGAACTATTAATGGAATTATCCGACTGGGATGGTGATCATGAGGCCGAAACTCAAAGGACATACAAATGTCGTATTGATCATATGAACGAATTAAGTAACTACGAATTTACTTATAGATTTCGCCTCAATAAAACTGCTGTGAGCAATTTAATTACAGAAATATATCCAGATTTAACAGTAACCTCAAAAAGGTGAGTTAATAATGATAAAATAAAATGTACTCAAAAGTAAAAATAGCACAATGTTATAAGTCTTAATCTTGGGATCTCTTAACCACGGGATATCTCCACTGCATGAACTCCTATTAGCACTCCGGTTTTATGCATTGGGCAGAATGCTAGTATCTGTTGCTGGCTTCGTAGGAGTATCAAAATCTTCAGCTGGGCGTATTGTAGCAGACGTGTCGTCTGCCATAGTCAGACTATATTCAAAATATATTTATATTCACAACAATACTCAGCAAGATTTTTATAATATTGGCTTTTTCCCAAGAGTTCTGGGTGCAATTGATGGTACACATATTCTGATATAATCACCAAGTAAGTACCTAAAAAAAGGTGTGTAATAATTTTATTGTTATTTCTGTCACTCTGACTATAGTACTTTCTAATTATTTCATTGTTGTAATTTCTAGATTCTATGCAATTTCAGAAAAGGATATTTTTTAAATAATGTACAAGGTGTGTGTGAGATGCACACTTAAGATTTATGAATGTGATTACTCGTTGGCCTGGATCCACCCATGACGCCACGATCTTTAATAATTCAACACTGAAGGGTAGATATTACTTACTTCTTGCCATTGCGCTATACAAGAACAATAGTGCAACAATTACCTAGTATGAATGATTCTTAACAAATTATATCAACATTTATTTATTATATATATTTATTCATATCTTATTTTAGCTGAATGTGAAAGTGGATTGTATGAGAATCGTTGGTTAATTGGAGACAGTGCTTATCCTTGTAAGCCTTATTTATTAACATCTTTGCTACATCCCACCTCGCAAAGTCAGCAACATTACAATGAAGCCCATGTACGGATACGGAATACTATTGAAAGGTACCGTAATTGTTTATAAATTATAACTTAATCACTTCTTCTCTGTAACTGTAATATTCTCAAGTATGTGCTGATTTTCTATTATCTGTGAAGCAAGATGTTTATTTATTGTTGCAGATGTTTGGGGTTTGGAAAAGGAGATTCCCCGTGATATCTCTGAAAATAAGGCTATCATTACCTAACACCCAATCCGTTATAATAGCCACTGCTATACTTCATAATTTTTGTAGACAAATGAACATTGAAGATGTAGAGCCAGAAATTGATGTACCAAGATATGAAACTGTTCCAATGTTAGTGAATGAGCCCAGCGACTATAGTATTGTTGAGAGAGAAGACTTAATTAATAATTACTTTAGCATGTTTGTTGTTTAGTTCAATTTATAAAATAGCCCTAGTTTGTTCTTATTGCACAAATATTATGACTTACTACCGTTTAAATTGTTTCAGGGTACAGTGAATTACTTTTATCAGTGGAGTTATTGTAAAAAGATAGTAGTTACTTAATAAATATTTATTTTTATGAAAAACAATTTTTACTTAGTTAACTTAAACCTACCTAAAAATAGTTTAGTGAAAAATTAAAAGATCTAGTTAAGACTTACAACCAATACAATAAAAAGGATGTACATAACTTAATAATTACTCTTTACATGTATCTAATTCTAACTTTAATTTTCTATTCATTAGTTCTGAATTTTCTAATTCTAATTGCATTTTTCTTCTTTTCTCATTATAATTGTCTGTGATTGCCTGGTTCCGAGCAATCCTAGCCTTTATGTCATCCTCTTGTAACTTTCGTTTCCGTTTAGCTGTAATAAAAACCATGTTACATAAAAATAGGTTTTATTGCACTATTCTGCTTACCAACTAGCAACAGAAAACAATACAATAAACAAGTCATTACAAATAAATAGTCATAATAAGTGCCTCCGTGGCCGAACTGTTACCATGCCGGACTGCCATGCAGAGGTCCCAGGTTCGATTCCCGGGCCGGGAGAAATAATTGTGTGGCCTACATTTTAAACGACTTCTTGAATACATACAGACACTGTTGTTATGAGGTGTGTTAATAAAAATGTTGTGTATAGATTTATCATACAGTGAGATTTTAAATTAATGTGATTGAATATATACAAACACTGTTGTTATGATGTGTGTTAAAAAACAATTTTGTGTATAGATTTATTATACACAGTGAGATTTTAAATAAATGTGATTGAATACATACAAACACTGTTGTTGTGAGTAGATGTGCTTAAAATTTTTTTTTTGTGAATCTCTCTTCTTGTTTTGGTGTGCTTATTAGGTGTAATTGTTTATCGATACTACGATCGATGCCACTGCCACCTTCACCCTCATCACCGTTATTAATTAAGATGACTCCACCCAAGTCAAGGTCTGTAACCACTGGCTCCTCTGCATCTCCACCAAAAAGCACACTATAGCCCTCACACGTAGCGCCAAGATTTGACGCCACTCTGTCGAGTGCATCATCTGGTGGGATGTAGTCTGGCTTACCACCACCAGTCTGCAAACAGTTTTTAAATTAGCAAATCTTTACTAGCCACTTATTCACTAATAGTTTAATAGCTGAATTTTATATATTAACATTATTATAATATCTGAATTTACCTTATTACGGTTTAATCTTATTCACGCAGATCTTTTACGAGCTGCCTTTTTTAAATTCTCCCACTTCAGCTTAAGTTGCTCCATCCTCTGTGGGCAAGTAACGGAACAACAACGAAACGGAGGCATTGAAGATATCGGAATTTTTAACCAGGCTATTTCTTTTAGTTGTTGTTCGTGGCATTAGTCGCTTTGCTCGTTATAATTTTGTTATCATGTGCAAGGTCAATAACCGCTCACGCGATTCATGCATCTCTGGAAGCATACCACACCTAGAGGTGCCGGTGATGATTTTATACCGATTTATCGGATATCAAAGTTATAACAGGTAAAAGAACTAATACTAATTGATATTCCGTTAACTACTCTAGCAAACCATAAAGTTTTTAATGTCTGGGTCTGTCATTTAAAAAAATAAACAACTTCAAAAATACGTCACGACAATCGTGTGTGTTATTGTTTGGGCTGGTGATGTCGGTGTTTATTTATTGAAAACATACCGTAAGTTGCGTTTTTTAAGTTTACCCTGAATTTAAATGTTTATAAACTATACTTTAAAGAGTAATATCATGGTAAACGTTAGAACCACTCAAACGGAATATTGTCATATTTACCCAAGTACACCAAACATTTCATTAATGCTTTTTAAGTGCAGGATTTGCGGTGTATTACTGCATTTTAAATGAGATGTTTTTGTTGTAGTACGGAGGGTATTTATTTAGCAATTCAGAATAATAATTTTTATTTTCAAAAACTTGTATTTAAACTGAATCCTTTTCTAATTTGCGAAACCAAATAGCCACCATTTTGCGGTAGGATGAGCGCATCGCGTGAGCGGATAAGCAGTGCCACTTCTTCTTTTGCTAATGGTGTTCCCTTTGGCTGAAAACAGAACAAGAATTTAATAATCTACAATGTATGCAATCATGTAAAACGTGGGAAACCAGGCTTGACTATTGTAGCTGCGCCAGTCTAGATTCACATGCAATAATTAACCATAGAATAAGATTATAATATAAGTAGTATATAGTACTTACAGTGTTCATGTTTCAATCACAAGTTACAAAAATTCACGAGTGTACATATAAATAACTTGAAGAAAACAAAAAGCGCAGTTGTGAGCTATCAAATGACTGCGACAGACGCACGCGTGCCTACGTATCGTTCTTTGAAATATACATGATTTCAACGGGGATATAAATTTAAAAAAAAAGAACTACTTTTTTACATACCTAGATTACAATTAGCAAAAATATACTATTCTGGTTTTAATTTCGTTACAGTTCATATTTTTGTAAAGAACTTTCGCGAAAAAAGACAATTTACGGCAATATTGTTTTTACTGGCGTTTGAAGTAACGAAACGCAGGAGAGGGCCGGATAGTGAACGGATAGATAGATAGCCGTTACCTAGGTTTGTGGGACGTAATTGAAAGATAGATAGAAACATACTGCTTATCTTCGATACCAATCTATCGCTGCTGAAGATAGGTTATTGGGAACGGCCGTTAGTAGGGCAACATCGATCGTTAGTAAGTGAAGAATTCCCCCCATGATAAGCCGAAAAGCGCTATCTCAATCGGAGTAAGTGTTGAGAAAATCGACTTCTTGTAAATTGTTAAGATCATTGAAGATGTTAAAACTTATTAATTATAATATGTATAATATTTTAAATTAAGTAACAAATTTACAATTAAGTAATCTTTATTGTTACAGTTTACAATTAAGTAATCTTTATTGTTACTTTAAGCACTTTATTTAACATTTTCAGACATAATAACTCAGTCTTTTCTTTTGCAGTTCTCCACATGGTGCATCCCCGTCGTTGTAAAAGAATTAACAAATTTTTTATGCCAGTGTTTTGAAGTTGAATGAAATTTGAAAATGATAAATTAAATCTTTTTGAGAGAGTATTGTTGATTTATTTTGTGAAAACGCTTTGTGAAATATTAATAGGTTTGGATTGCTCGCGTGTTACAAAGTATATAATTTGAAAAGATATTGGGTGCGTAATCAGACACTTTATTTCTAATAACAATTTCGTAGGACTATGTTACTAACATCATAAACAACATTTTTTGTTCCATGACTTTTAATATTCATCGGATTTTACTTTCGTGCAAAAATGATAATATTTAAATAGCTCACTCTAAACTTAAGCTTTAACTGTCTAAGAAATATTTGTATGGCGCACATTTATTATGTGCGGTAACAAAAGACAGCACTAGCGTCAATACAAATCCGATTCAAAACGCAGAAGCCAGTGTGGAGGTTCTTTCGACGCTTGCATATCTTAGTATCAAATAATAATCTAAATTGTGTCAGATATTAGAACAAAAATTTATAGTTTCTAGCCGGGGCTAGAGCTGTAAAGGTATCAAACTGGGTGACGAAATATCATAGATTTCTCATAGATGACGCTACGACTAAAAAGTCGTTGAGAAACCAAATACAAAGATACGACGCAAGCACATAAAAAATTCGCGAGGTCCGCGGGTTCGTTCCATGGCTTAGTTGGTATAGCATTTGTCACGGCATGCTAGAAGACGTCGGTTCGAATCCGGCCTTTCTTATTCTCTTTTAAATCTTTGTTATTAATAATTATAAGTTTATTTTTGGTAAATTTATTATGTTTTGTAAAGTGTCATGGAACAATGGAACTTGTTGTTTACGATGTTAGTAATACAGTTTTGCCAGGTTATTAATGTTTTTCAAATAACCATATGTATTTGATCTTTGACTTAATCACGTATAAATCATATTTTAATTACCTCGACGTTTCGGACGTATTTCAATGTCCATGATTTCGAAGGGACGGAAGAGGTGGGTGTCAGCATATTCAAGCCGTGCGAGTTTTTCTTATTACCCGCACTTGATCTTCATTATTTATTTGTGTACTAGGTAACCATGTGTATGTGTTATAATCTCTATTGTTTACTATGCGAGGCGAACATGTCACGCTAGTGGTTGGTGAAATACACACCTTCCACATTTATAGTGCAAGCGTAGTTCCTGGATATTCTATAAACTGCTATGTTTTTACTTGTAATGAGCGAGCCAACTTGTCTGTCTGTAGTACCTTCGTAATTATAGTGCCGTAATTACCGCAGGATTTGTCCCTGATCTTTTTTATTGTCTCATGTAACCTATTCGCATGTAACTAGCTAACAAACAGGGTCGGGTCAAATCAAACTGCCGCTATGGGCATGATCAATGAGGTCAAATTTTTATATTTTATTCGGACTTCACTACTTACTGTTGTTCTACGTATTTACACATTAAAGAAAATTAGAAGAATTGACGCTTACTTAAGCTGTGTAGCCTACAATATGGTAATTAATATAATAAATATGGTAATTACTGCTATTATGAAGTAACATTGATAATAAATATCCTTTTTCTTTCCGTATGCAAATTCTATTTAACTACAATTTCATTTGTTTAGGATGAGTCAATAATAGATGTAAACTGAATGATCGATTTTTCGCCCTTCCGATATTTCCTCTGTGGCTTATGATCTACACTACACCTTATATTATTTTAACGACTGTAAACAAAGTGACCGCCAAATGTTATGTCAATCGTTTCTTTAGAAAATATACCTTGACTGTCATATACAGTATCATGAAAACAGTATTGTTGATTCAAGAATCAACTGTTGTGATAGTGAATGTCTGTTTGTAATTTATGAGTTCCATTAGTGTCTTTAAGCACCACGACATCGAGCAATCGAGTTTAATTTTTAATGAGACTCGTTATATTCTTGGTAAGTAATTTAAGGTATTTTTTTGTCAAACATACTTTGTCAATGAAGTACGGGAAGAAATTTTACTCAGAAAAATTTAACTCTAGTGCCACAGTATATCAAGGAAGTTATGGATCATGAAAGACAATCAGAAGTATACACGAATATCAATTTTAAATTAGCTCTTATTTATTTTAATCAGTCGACTTATGAACAGAATCAAACTTAAACTCAAGTATCTTTATTTCAACGTAAACAAATGAGACTTTAAATTGTCACATTGTTTAAAATGTACTACTTATTAATAATGAGTAAACTTTAGGGGTTGCTCTCTGTAAATAAATATTTGTACATATTTATTTCAAATTGGAAACAATTTGCAAGAGCTTATTGAGTCATCACACAGAAGATGTATACAGTTTCAGTTTTCAACTGTTTGACTATGGTTTTAAGCCTTGTAAATGGCAAATTGTAATATCAATCGGAATCTTTTAATAGAGGCGTATACATTATATCTTATTTGAATTTGCGAAGACCACTGAAAGAACAGCGAGTTTATTTTTATCCCTTGTATTAATATTATGTCTATCCCAGAAGACCATTGTATCTATCATTATTTTTCATAAAAAAAACTGTAGTTTTTTTCCAGATAAACTGTTTGGATATAATTACATTTTAATAAATGTACCTATAGTGTGACGGTAGTGTAATAATGTTGTTTTTTTACACTTCTTTAAAGACAAAGAATCATTGATTAAAGATTTTCGTGATAACATTACAACACTTCTGAAAGTCTTTCTGTATGATCTAATTGTAAATAAATATAAATTTTAGTGGGTAGTGTTTTAATTTCAAATTTTATATTATTATCATCAAACAGTCAGACGATTCACCTCATGGAAGGTGGGTCTGCCGGCTATAGACTTTTGCCATACTCAGAGAATGTCGTTCATGTACCGCATTTTTTTTATAAATGAATATTTTTCATCCTTTCGTTTTCCTTACAGATTACAAAATGGTAAACCTAATAAGGGAAATTAAAGATATGACCAGACCGTCTTTAGAGAAACGTCTTCAAGTAGCAAACAATATAGGATTGCATGCAACTCTACGATATACCTTACTGTGTGCTCGTGTAATGGGATTTCTACCTTTGTCTGGACTAACGAGCTTCAATGGGCGTGATGTCAGGTAATTGAACGGGTACGATTTACTGTGAGAGATCGACTATATAAGAGAAATAATTATCTTGTTATATACAACTGCTCTCTACAACGTTAATTTTTAGGTCATTCTTTCTTTCTTTCTCAATGTGGTATATACAAATATATACAAATATATGAATATTCCTAACAAAAAAGACCATAAAGAGTATTATAATAAGGTGGAATTATAATGAGATCTGTTTTTACTAGTTTTACTTAGCATCATGTAATCATTTATGTCGTTATTAGAAGAGCAGTGAGAATTTCTACACAGAACAAAACAGTTTTTGAAAAAACAAAATACTAAGACAAATCATCGACGATTCATATGTATACAGATAATAAAATGACTAAAGCTTTTGACTGCGTCAACAATGATATACTATTTTATTCATACGTCAAAAGTGGTAATATTCGAGTATTCAAACATTATAATTATACGATATGTTTCTAACATGTACAATTAATAGAACTTGCATTAAAATACTGAAATGGAATATAAGTTTGTTTCGAGTATTCTATGGTGTACCGCAAGGATGCCGCGTGGGACCATTACTTTTATGATACTGTATGCTTGCGGTTATGCAGTTTAATATAATAATTAATGAATAGTAAACATTCATTTATAGAATGAGTTGAGAATCAATTTATAATAAATGTTCAAATATAGAAATGTGAAATTTTACACTACAAAATGTAAATACTACATTTTAAGTATAACTTGAAAGATTGTGGGTCAAATTGGGACATCCTAGTAGGTGTCATCCATCTGGGATAGGAAGTCCCGCTCTTCCGTTATCTTTTAGTTGTATGAAACAAACTCGATTTAATTGAATCATTTTCTAAAGTACAAAACAAATTAAACTAATTTTAAAAGTGAACAATGATGATGCGATATGCTAAGTTTACCCAATATACAAAAAATATTGTAAATCATAAATGTAAATATAAACTAAACTTAAATAAATTATGATAAATGTTGTAAATGACAAATGTATACAAATGCTTATTTAGCAATACTTATCGCCTTAGAATTTATTGTAGGTTCCTCTCAGATGAACATGCCCCGCGAATGAGTAGTAGAGTTTAATGAATATGACGAAGTGTACTTTGCTTCTGTAGAGGAAACAAAGTATATAATAGCATAATATAATAAATGTACATAAAAGCAAAAGTAAGAAATAAGAACCTTATGTTTATTATACTTGAGAGAGTATTGTGTGTGAATACATTAAGTAGAGATTATGTTCTCCGTTTCTTCAAAATTAAGTGTCAACAGCCAATTTGTCAACGCATTTTATACAATTGTACAAGTTCTTAAAAGGTAATTTTTTTTTGGTTAACAGTATTAAACAAATGTGCCGATTTTACTATAAATTGCCTTTTGGCGAATTCAGATTTGGAAAGTGGTGTTGAGGTACTAAAATGTTTTTTCGTCTACGAGACATAAGCAGAGGGTTATAAGGTAGGCACTTGTGTGGCTTTAGTACTGCAAAACGGATGTATAGTTTTCACTCATTGAGAGGTGACCATTACACTGGTAAAGTTCGTTAGTAGGGAATCTGTATGGTTTGAATAAACCTTGAAAAAAAAAGACGAGCACTTTTACTATCATAGTTTTATTGTAGATGCGCCTGGAAAAGTCCTTATTCAATATACTACGGTCTCAGTATATTTGGTCAGACACTAACATTCATCTTAAGCTTTGTCTGGCTACTCGAAAAAGGACTATCTTTGAGAACTGTTTGTAAGTATCTTAGATTTTTTAGTTTTTCCAGTATTATAATAACTGTTATTAGTATTATTATAATTAAACGGGTTTTTACCACGTCCTTCTAACAAAATTAAATTAAGAGCCGCGTTGATTGATTGACAAAAATATGACACAATACAACAATTACAGAAAATAAAAGGAAAAAACATAAAATAGTAATTGTAACAATAACGAAACAAATGTAATGATAAGTCAAAGGTAAGGAGAAAAATATTGATAAGTTAAAATTTTTTTATTATTTTATTAAATTACTTTATTCTTCAAGTTTATGAAACATTTTAGACATTGAAATTTACCCTAAACATGGGTACTAAAATACAAAACATAAATAATTATAGGATTTTCATTTTTAAACAAATGAAGTGTAATGTGATCCCTAGTAGACACTGTGTGACAATATCTTGCACAAGCATTCTAAGCACAGTAATTCAGGTGAAATAAAACTACGGAATTGCACAACAAAGATCTCGAAACAACGCTAATGACTTGGCCGTATTGTATATAACGATTTCACGGCCCACAATTATTTTATTGAGTAGTACGGTATTTCGACAAAGTTGTATATGTCATGTTCAGTACCTAGTCTATGAAAAGTCATAATGAGGGTCGACGGCTAACTGTGTCAAAATATCTATCTTCTTATAAAAATGTAAGCGATAAAAACCCGTTAAAGAATATCAATAATCGTTACAATCGAAGTCTTAAAATTGTCTTATTTTCATAACAAATTTTTACTGTATATAAACGTCACAAATTTCTATATGTGCTTGTTGCTGATCTTTGTATCTAGGTATAAACGGCTTTCTTGTAGTAGCGCTACCTACATATTTTCCTACCAACCTGATAGTCATGCATACCTTAGTGCAATGGGGATTAGTTATAAAATAAAACTGCATAATTAATTAATACAAACAAATCAGCTATTAATATGTACAAAACTATTGCCTGTACCTAGTAAGAAAGATTATGTAGAAAATGTTTGGAGTACTTAGACACCTATTCATTTCGAAATTAAAACCTTGATTTACATTACAGCTACAAGCGTATTCTATTCCTCAAGTTTTCTCTCTTGTATGATTCTGGCTCACATAGCAAAATGTTGGCCACACTTTTTAACTAATGTGGAAGATATGGAAACAAAACTGCCGCCATTCACTAGAAACGTATCCAAAATGAGTAATGTCACTGTCACCTGCATTTTTCTCTTGGCTGTAGGTAAATACTTTTACATCTTGTTTTTCATAAAATAATTCAACATATTCAATTTAATTTCTTCCTCACATCTATGCCTTATTTTTATTAATTGTATTATCATTACTAATCCATTGTCACTGTTGATCATAGGACTCCCTATGATCCCTCCCTGTCACTTTGTACAGAAAATGAAATGTCGGTAGAAAATTGACAATTACAACATACCAACTGAAACTTATGGATCAATAATATTTTACGCATAGTGTTATCATATTTTCGAGGCAAAAGACGTTGCTAATTGCGGACTTGCCCTTCTGGATGGTATAACTATTTATAATTAAGAGTAGTAAAGTTTGTGTGCACTCTCAGTACGCCTTGATAGGCATACCCTACAAGTATACTTGGTTAAGAACTTGTATTGGTTGATAATAACGGCAAAGCAATATATTTTCAGTTGAGCATTTGTTGTCAAAGATGTACTCCTATACCATGACAAACGCTTGCGTCAACTGTTCCATAGACGAGACTTACTTTTCTGAGAATTTGCAGTGGGTCTTCGATCGCACTCGTTATACTTTGTGGAAAGGATTGTTGGTGGAGGTCAGTACTTTTACATTGTTATTATTAACAAAATTATCTGTTGACGTTCGTATCTTACTGCTGGATATATCATCTCTCATTAAAGATTTGATACAACCGCTAGCTACACTTGGCACCGAAGGTCATAGCAAAGCTGCAGTCTAAATACTCAACTAGGTGACAGCTCCGATGTTTTTGTTTTACGCCCGTCACCCTGAGACAAGACAAATGACAAGTCCCATGTACCTGTAATTTCAACAACACTTTCACTCTTTCCCAAAGAGCTCTACTGCTACTAGAAATGTTTATTCATGGCTAACTACATTTGCCTTAATAAATTCATTCATCGTACCATCGTACATCGTACGTACCATCGTAAGATGGTGACAGACAATTCAATTGCTTGCTCATTATCTTAATTTTCGAATTTTGTTTGATAATGTACAAACACGGGAATAAATTTACGGCTACGTCAGTACTCGTTGCGGGAAGGAAGCTATTTAATAGCAAATTTTCGTTTTCGAATTCATATCCGGCGAAGGGAAAGGACCTTTGATAACGTAGCTGTTGGTTAATACCTGTAGTTTTACCTAGGTGTTCTACGCATTAATTAATAACACTGTTGGTATAGAAACCACCGCGACCAAAAAGGAATCAAGTCTTTTACAGCATTCAGGGAATAAATTTTTTAAACTTATGCCTCGGAAGTGAATATTAATTTACGGTTAGGTTTGGGATAAATTTGATTTATTATAGTGTCGTGCCAGAAGTGCAACTTGAAACTTCTGTTGAAAGCTTTTTAACGGGTACCTTTGCATCGTTTATATCCCTAGGGAAACTTCACCAAGGTTTCATAACTCAGTGTCGCTGTTGTGCGTTCTCACTCCAGTAACTTTAACTTTATAATGAACTTGAGTAAATGTAAATGGTACATCAAATAATTCATTTATGGTCTCTTGATTTTATTTCAGACGATCAATATACAATCAACCTTTTTGTGGACATACAACGATTTGTTAATTATGATACTGGGCATCTATTTATCCGAACATTTTGTTGAGCATACCCGACTACTAAAACAGGCTCTCCAAGAAGTAAGACGATTATAATTATTCTTAGACTGTAATAAGTTCACTGAAGGCCTTACAGTTACTTGCTTTAAAAAAAACTGAGAGATAAACCAAAAACTACATGTATTTAGACTTTCATCAAGTGAATTTTTTGGGGCAAAAATTATTTTACATTTGTAATTTAGAATCCTCATTTATTATCTCAAATTACATTTTGAGAATTAAGTTTAAGACACATAATTTTGATTTAGAATTTAGAGTCCGTGTTAAAGACTTTTTGTTGAGCATTATTAAAATAGCCTTCAAATATGTTAAATCTTCACGCGTATCTTTTGTGGGTAGACAGAAACCAAAAGCTGCACTTGCTATGGTTCTGACAAACCTCCTTGCCACCTCCACTCATACGTCAATAAAAGAAACGAAAGGGGTATATCAGGACCATAGCTAGTGGAAATCTGTACCCTGTACTTCATTAAAGTTATAGCAAAGCTTGTAAATTTTAATTTGAGATTTGTATCTGTTTACGCCTTACTGCCATTGTTTTGTGAATTTATGTGTCATATCTTTATCTATCATTGTATCTGTTAATATTTTAACCAGCAATGGATAACATATCTTTATAAATCTAATTTATTATTTTTTTCAGCAAAATTTTTCAGTTGAAGAGTTTCGCGTGCAACATTTAAGAATTGTGCATCTCGTGAGGCAGTTTAATAAGCTATTTGGTATCTACATTCTTCTTTCTTTTGGATTTAATCTATATTGGATTTGTATGCAACTATTTTACAGTTTGGAGTAAGTTGATTATCGAATATGACACTTAATTTACATTTTGCTGCATATTACAAATTGCAACATTACAAAATGCATTGTACAATATATTATGATAAGATAAGAGTAAGAGCTGGTCCATTATAGGAAACCACATAGAAAAATTCACTCCTTTTTTTAATCTGGGAAGTGGTAGAAAAGAAGAATTTTTTCAATAGACTTATAAAAACACACATGACACATAAATATATATAAATATCTATCTATCTTTATACAAATATATATGTGTCAATCCGTTGGTAACCTTGATACTATGATTATGTCATATTTTTCTATCCTGAAGATCGACATTAAGATTGAGCGTGTCATAAGATCGTAAGCCTAAATGAAACTTGGTTATTTGTATTTTTAGCACACTTCGCAGGCTGGAATATGCTATCTATTTCACTTTCTCATTATCGTTTTTGGTAGCCAGAATTTTGATGGTATGGCTTCTGTCTGCAAACGTGCATTCCAAATCCAATGGATCTATACTACTTTTGTATGAAATACCGACACACAGATTTGACGTAGAGGTTAGTATTCAATATTTTAATAATCACATAATTCAGTTGAATCGTATTATTAATTTTGTGCTAGTATTTTATGTGTATTTGTCAGTGAATTTTCAATCCGTTAAGTGGGTGATATGCTTGAATATAGCCACATCTCACCGACCGATGATGATGTTTTGCTTTTGTTTATGTTACATGATATAAATATTGATGTGAAAGTTTCAGTAAACATGGTTCAAATATATAGGGAATCGCATCACATTTGTTAACATGTGATCGGCTTCAGCCTGTCAGAAAAAGTTACGTGACTAATAAGAGCGAAAAAGAACGTCGTGCGTTTCGGTCTTCGGAAACACGCAGTGTAATTTTCGTTCTTACTAGATGCGCATGAGGCTTGTTCTAACCGGCTTATTGCGATTTGATATCTATAGTCCGTTTTGTATACTGCCAATATAAAAGTCATAAATAAATTAATTTAAAAGTACTTTATAACATTATCCTCATTTTCTTCTTTAATTTTGTTCAGGTACAGAGGTTCATCGATCAAATAAACAACATAAAAATTGGACTTAGTGGTTTAGATTTCTTCTTCGTCACAAGAAACATGATTTTAACCGTACGTTGAACATTTTTTGTTACTATGTAGAAACTCAATTTTATCCATGTTAAGAGATGCAAATATAAAACTTATCATAATGATTCTGTAATGTTTTGTAAAGAAGAAGTGGTAGTCTAGTGGGAAAACGGCTGCTCCTCAATCGCGAGTTCGATGGTTCAAATCCCTGTAGCGGCATGTACCTATGACTTTAAGTTCTAAGTTAGTAAGAAAAACATTGGGCCAGCATTTAAACTAAATCTTCTCCTTAAGAGTCTATACAACCTGCAATGGCTTTGGCTGATTTCGCATAACAGTGAAAGTGTTGAATCAATTATTTTAGAAAAGATATACATAAAAATTGAGGGTACACACTGATTAGTGTATGGTGTAAAAACACGATTCCTAAAAATTTCCGCGATAGAAAAAAACACAAACTTACCTCGAACTTTTACAAGAAAACCGCTGTATTCAATAGGTACTTTACATATACCAATGATTATTTTTTAATTGAAATGAATTAAATAGAACAGTTTTAATTTCGTTTGTAAAAAAACAAATTCTGAAATAAAGCCAGTGTCCTGCCGCTCGATCCAAGCAAAATGAACCGTATTAGTACGGCAAAAATTTTAATTCGAGTTGAAGTAGTATCGAGTCTTAAGTTAACGATGATGGTGACAGAATAAGAATATAGTTCTCTATATTTTTAGTTTAACATAATTTAATTAAATGTAACTAAGGAAAGCATCCCTATTATGATATCAGCCCGTTCATGGACAGTATTTACATCGGACATAAGGAGCATCAGTGGCAACGATAACGTGGTGGCTGACGCTCTGTCAAGAGTCGAGCTATCAAGCCCCAACAAGTTCCAGCCTTCGACACCCGAAAGAACCAGTGTTTCATTTCGCCTACCTGCAGCTACACATAAAGCTTCTAAAACTAGTATCTCAGAAACCCCAATTACACATCGTGTTTCTGCAGCGCCCTACCTGAGGGTCAAGACGATTTAAGGACTTCCACACTGACTTACGACCAACAGCTGATCCCGTCAACATATATAAAAGAAAAAATGGCCATGGCAGTGTGTCATATCAAATTAGTACTAAAAATATATGTGTTTTAGAGAAAAAAATTGCTTAGAACTTTCTTTAAAAGTTCAATGGCACCAACGCGTAGTTGTACCACTTCGTACAAGCACATCAGTGTCCACCGTACTGTATTAATGTAAAGTAACAAAATATGTGCGTGTTAATCAATGAATTTCAATTTTTAAGTTTATTGACTGTCACGACGTTTGACTACTGTGATATTCAAATACTTTTGTGAAATTACTCCATTACTTTGTTATAATTATTAATATAAAGATCGAACACTTTGAAAAAATATCCTTCCGGCTATAAATTCCGGATATAAATATCTATCCGGCTGGATTCGAACCAATATCTTCCAGTAAACCGTGTCAGGGGGTCTACTCTCGTCTTCCGTTCGACATTCATCCGAGAAAATTACTGTGGACCAAATTAACACACTTAACAGACAATGTCAAGTATGAACCTTTGCGTCATGCATCTTTGGTCGAGTATTACTTATTTAACAGTAATTGCTTCAAGTGGAAGTTGGACGGAGAGTACAGGGCCCATCGAGTAACCAGAAATAGAGACGAAATGTCATTTAATTTGTTTGAAAACTATTCCACTAAATCATTATGATGACAACTGCGCTCCGGTTGGTCATCCCGAATTAGAAACAATTGACGGGTGTCGTCAAATACAAATCGATCAGTTTAACTTGAGCTTTGCTAATATTTAATGACCGATGAAATGTGATTCCGTTTGTTTTGTAATTAGATGTTTTGCTGTTTCTCCCACACCCCCAAATGGAACAGCCCACAATTGGTGGAGATATTGTCTTTATTACAACAAATACAGAATGTTTGTGGAATATACGGAGACGTACACACAGGTCAGTTGTTGGCGCTAACTAACTAACTATTTCAGCTTTCTAATTTGTGATTTCAGCGCAAAACATAGTTGATATTTAAAAGTGATAAAAGGCCAATTGGCCTGATGAGTTGCCAGGGATGGATGGCGATGACAGGGCCTGACACTGCCAACTAAGCCACGGAATGAACTAGCGGACCTTACAAATTTTTTTGTGCTTGTTGCAGATCTTTGTTTTTAGTTTTTACCGACTTTTTTGTCGTAGTTTCTCTATAATTCGCACTGTAAAGCCCGTAGTTGATTGTTTTGAGATTCCTATAACAAAACAAGACGCCCTGTACTATCATATTTGATTTTACGGTAAGCTCCGTTACTGTTCATGAGCGGGTTAAAGAAAAAGACCACATAATTTATTATTATTTGTTTCAATTCACATATTTTTCTACATATACGTAACATTTTAAAAACTTCTTTTTAATTTTCAGCTCTTTGGCACCATCGTCACCTATGAATTAGTTTTGCTACAATATAACAGATAGATTCAAATTAAAACACTGAAAAAGCTGTACAAAGACGTTTTATTTCACTCTTACATTGCGTAAATTATTCAAATCAAGTACTACTTGCGTTTGAGCAATGAAAAGCTCTGAATTTTTTATTTGAATTAAGGTAAAAAGGTTCTCCATTTGTGGTTGATGGATTTTTTAACATGTATTTTCAGAGAATCTACGTGTCTGGTAGCAAAACGCGGAAAATGAATTCAAAGACATGACAAATTGGGACGCACATTTCGATCCCTTGATGGATCACGTAAAAGAAGTGAATTGTGAGGGAGAGAAATAAATGAAGGACGCATTTAAAAACATTCTTTTCTGCCCACATAACACGCTTGCCAAATCTGATATTATGTTACAACCGACTTTAAAAAAGGAGGAGGTACCCAATTCAACTGTTTTTTTTTTTGTGTGTATGTCACACGATTATCCCGATGTTTGTGAACAAATTTCGTTGATTCTTTTTTTAATAATTATTAATACAAAGATCGAGGACTTAGAAAAAATTCCTTCAATCCGACCGGATTCGAACGGACGTCTCCTAGCAAAACCGTGCCAGACGCTATGCCAACTGAGCACTGGAATGAACCAGCGGATCTCACGCATTTTTGTATGTGCTTGTTTTTTTTTTTATCTGTAAGTAATCTTTGGTTTTCAACGACTTTTCAGCCGTAGCGTTTTTTTTTTTTGTTAAAAGTACCTCGGTAGTGGTCCCATTTAAATTAGAAGAAAATATTCTCTAATAATGTCGGGAAATTTAAACCCCATATACCGGAGGTTCCACATACATTATATGGCACGATATTTGGTTTAATTAGAAATAAATTTGACAATGTCTTAAATCGAAAACATTAACTTTACTTAGAGAGACTAAATTCAATAAAACTTGGCATAGATATAATACCACAAACTATTGAGATCCGTTTTTTTTATTGGTATGGCACAAATACAAGCGCTCAAATATTAAAATTACGCATATTGCTCGAGTTACTAAAATATTAGTTAAGTGATGGTGTTCCTTAAAAGGGGGTTTGTCGTATTTACTACGTAATTTCCTGGCTTAACTAACTATTTACATTTTGACGACTTCCGTGAAGAGTGGCTTGCACATTTGCTTCATGGTACAGCCATCTCGTCGCCTGTCCATAACGGTTTTAGGTTATTGGGAACTGGAAAGACGTAGTTTTCTGGCGTCGGGAAGTGAGCGTGCCTTACAGCTCCGCCACCAATGAGGAGATTTGGTAGTGGACTCAGAGATGACGGCTTAGCGGTGGCAACCGCTAGTTGTGCAATGCGCAACGGGAAGTGAGCGTGCCTACAGCTCCGGTACCTATCTGGAAAATAGGGAGGGTACTGTACGTGCACCCGGGGTGGCTCACCCGAGGCACTAGCCTCTCGAAGAACCGGATGAAGCCAAGTGACAGAGATCTGTGACAACCCTGTACACTGGCTGATCTGGGGTCAGAACCTGAACTTGTAAGGTTCCTGTGCGCACAGGTCATAGTGCCCTTCCCACATAACCAAGAGGTTGATAGGGAGGGGCACTATAAACAAAACTTATGTAGAATGATATGCGACTGACCATAACGGTTACAGTGCCACTCCGAGCTTTAAATCGCAAAGATCTGAGGCGCACTGCTACAACAATCGTCACCTTGAGACATATGTTGACAAGTCCCATGTGCCTGTAATTTCACCAGCGCCCTTACCCTTCAATACCGGAAAATTTTAACTGACATTACTATTTGGCGGCAGAAATAGGTAAGGCACTACTTCTCTGGACGAACTTTTTCACGACGAGCTCTACTGCTACTAAATTGCTCTATTTCTACATCGTCCCGAGTGTGGGTATTTATTGAACCGTCGTTGTTTCCGACACAACTGCTTGTGTCGGAAACAACGACCTACTGTTACCTACTTACTTTGGGATCAGAGTATGCATGTGATGTTATCTAATATTTATTTATATTTAACATAATTTAAAAAATTTAAAAAAAATTAAAAATTAATTTATTTCTCAATTTGGTTCAACAATGGTAGATCAGGTCCTCCCTTTAAGCAAATGTATGCTTGTGTTGGAAAAAAAACACAAATAAAACACAAATTCAAGTTACTTTTATTAGTCATTTAAAACTATGTAAGTTATTACTGTGAAAATTGAAGCATAACCAATTCGTATGTAAAAATTGCTGTGGCCATCTGGAACAAAAAAGAATTACGATAAACTTACGACAAATGATGAACAAGTCGAATATAATAGCATACATTGCATGCTATTGTATAATGAGGAATATCATCATAATAATGCAGCATATAATATATATTATATGATATTCCTCATAGTAATCATCATGTAATTATCGATGTAAACTATTACATTTGACTCAGTTAGTCAGTATGTTACGTACTTATAAGGAATTAATCCTTATATTGAACCCTTTCAATCAGCATCATAAAAATAAAGGTGTCTTTTTTTCATATTTTGGTTGGATTCCCAGATAAAGCAAGCGACTTAAAAGTTTTTGTAGTGAAATGCAGCAGTCGTTAGGAATCATTGTTTATGTACATATTTTATTATTATAACTATTTTAGCAGTTAACATTTAAATGTACTTGTTTTTGGCGCCTTCTTGCTTTATTATTGTCATTTTTTTTCTATGTTATGGTAATTTTACTTTCTTGATTTTAATTAACTGTAAATACATATTCTTTGGTCTTGCTCACCCTCAATTAGTACCTAAACATTTGATACAATCAACTACAGGCTTTGAATACAGTATTATTTACTTTTAATAATGATATTTTCAAGTAGCAAAATATCCTGTCTGTAATATTTAGTACACTTGCCCTCTGTGTCACATTACCGTGGGACTTATATATATAAGATAACTTACCGAAAGAATCATACTTCGAGTGACATAGAAAAAGTGAAGACCGCTAAGAGCTATAGTGCTGCCATGCAACTGCTCCACTAACCTGCGTGTCTGAAAACATAACAATACTAAACTTTTAACAGGTTTACAATCCCTGAGACCATATTGATGTTATTTCTAACACTTTCTATGTGATTCTAAGTTACGGCACGAACAAGTCGTGTGTTTGGTATTAAGCGACACGCCTGTCCATAGCAATCGCACTGCCACAGCGCCCGTCATCCTGAGTCATAAGTTGACAAGTCCCATGTGCCTATAATTTCACCAGCACCTTTGCTTACCCCTCAAAACAGTAACGGTGAGGTGCTAAGGGTGCTGGTGAAATAGAGACTTCTCAATTTTATGTTCAGAGTGACAAGGTGGGCGCAAAGGCAATGCCTCTCATATCTTAGCGATTAAAATACTCAATACTACTACTTTACGACTGTCGTGGGTAGACACACGTCTGTGCCTGGTGATAAACGACACCGTTTACTGCCAGTTCGTCTTGTCACTTGATATCGTAAAAATCAACATTGAGATGAACGAAAGTGCGACATTCCAAGTATTTTTAACCGAATTCATAACATGAGGAGGTTTTCAATTTGACTACATTGTTTTTATTTGGTGTGTATTTTATTGACATTTGTGAACCTACTTCGATGATTATTAGGGAACCTCAGTAGTGATCCCGTTCAAATTGTGGTTTATTAGCGAATGAATCAGGGTTTTTGCTTTGACTTATTTTCCGCTAACCGATTTCAATAAAATTTGGCAAATAAATGTATTTCTACAAACTTTTGAGGTTCATTATTTGTACAAAAGCTATAATTCTAGTGTTAAATAATTAGTAGGTGAAGATGTCATAGTCGAAGCAATAACTACCTCAGAATTAAAACTCGAAGACGGCACATCATACAGCGTCATTATAGGCTCTCTTGCAGTCGAATGTACCTTAGACGCAAACATGGCTGTGGCTAAAGATTTACTTAAGAGGAATATTATTGAAAACGTAAAATATATTGCTCTGTCGTAACTTTGTAAGGTCCTGAAAAAAAAATAATTTACATCATTTCACATTTACATGTTTACTAATATTGCAAGCCCTGTAAAGGAAATTGAGAAGAAGTAACTTCGAAATTTTATGGGGTTACCCTACCCAGTGAACAACTGAGGAACCCACGAAAGTGAATATTTTCTTACTTCAGACAATAATTAAATTAAAAGAAGTAGTACAGATTATTTGCGTTTGGCAAGCTGGATGACAAGCCTTAAATCAGACTAGATTCCACAGTGTCTGTTGACCCTCTTGTTTAATCAATATGTTCTGCCTACCATGACGTATGGTGCCCGGACATGAACGCTCACGCAGGACATTGTAAACAGATTGAAAGTTGCATAGAGCCCCATGGAGCGCGTCATGTTCGGTTCAACCTTGTAGACCGAGTTCCGAACGTTGACGTCTGACAATGCACGAAAGTCCAGGATGCTGGAACTCGGATCTTGGGACTCATATGGAGTTGAGCGGGACACATAGCAAGTCGAGGGGATGACAGATGGATTCAAGACGTCGACTGATTGGTGGCCGAGAATGGGCAAAAGAAACGTCAGGCGCCCAGTTGGATAGTGGGTAAATTGCATAGCACGCATCGCGGTGCGTCAATGGGTGCGACCAGCACAAGACCGTTGCCTATAGGCCTCCCGAATTTGTGCCAAAGTGATGATGATGTTCAGATCTTAGGTAAGTTACAGCATGAAGCTAGACGTACTTTTATTAACCTATATATCCACGATCAAGCTTCAGGTATCATTAAAAAAAAAACCTAAGATACAACCATACTATGGCTGTTACTGGAAATAGTCTCTCCAAAAGATGTCGGAAACGTTTCGATATCTACGGTCACAGCTTAAAAGTTGGTTTGTTTGAAAAACCAAGTATCCGTATATTCCCGTTACGTTATTTATATAATCCCGTGATCTAGATCCGTAAAATATGTTTCTTTCCCAATTTGTAGCAATCGCAAATGCGTTATAAGTCTATGAGATAGTTGTCGTGATTTCATTGAAGTCAATC